TAGTATATTAGGAGTCGTACTAACGTTAGTTAACGTTAGTATATATATAGGAGTCATACTAACGTTAGCGCAGGAAGGACAAAAGGTTGAACTAACTTACTTGAACACGTAACTACAACGTTCGTTCAAGTTATAATCAGCTACGCATGTTACCAGCAAACGTGTTTTGTGCTAGCAACTCATGTAGTAAAACATATTTGAAAACAAGTTTTCAGCTAACATAAAGTGGAAAAAGACACAACGCAAGCTTGTAAAACGTAATTTTAAGGGGGTGAAACGACCGAATTCAAAACTTACCCATTTTCATGTTCGCTGCTTTGAGCCTCGCGCCGTCTGCCTCTGGTCCAGTCAGACATTTTCTTTATAGTGAATATTTGGAGCAGTAGAGTATTTGTGTGGACAACCGACAGGCTCTGCAGCACAACAGCCGGCTGGCAGTTTAGATACCCGCCAACACTGAAAGACGCGCGACCCCAAACAATCCAAAAAGTCACATGACCGGAAAGGGCGGCTGTACGTCTATGGTTCCTTCCGGATCATTGTTCCGGATGCGGCAGAGGGCAGCGATACTCTGGCTGCGTTTCATTAGTAGTTCCACTTCCCCTCGTTCACTTCCCGTCAGCCCTTGGTATGACGTAACAGCATACGTCGCACGGAGGCCACTTGGAGCGCGGAGGGAAAGTGGGCGGGGAGGAGCGGGGGATTTAAATGAAACGCACTTGCTTGTTATAGCGGCAATGACGTAAACTGCAATGCATTGTGGGTGATATCCACCTCGGAGTGACCATCGTTGTTCACTCGCTCCCTCAGCCCTCCGAGGGTCCATCTCAGACAGTTGGAACGACACTTATGATGGCGGCGGGGATTCCCCCGAGGGCAAGTGCCGAGGGCGTGTTGAACGACTAATGAAACGCAGCCATATTCTCGTCTTCTTTCTGATAGCTTGTCTTCTTCGCGTTTTCTGGCGAATTGCAATTTTAACTGCATAGCGCCACCTACCATACAGGAGTACGTATACAGGATCCAGTTAAGTTTACAGTAGTCTATAAAGAAAACAGTCTACTATATTCTATTAAACAATATTGTGTGCTCCCCACAACTCATCTCTGTTAGCCAAATGAACTATCTTACCTACCTACCAAGCTCTTATTCTCATCCTGAAAGTATTTGAAAAGCTGTCAATTCCACCAATAGCAATATCAACAGTGTATCTAAGTATGTATCAGTGAATAATCTCTGACAATAGAGGTATGTTTAATTTTAACAAGCACCATTATTAGTGGTAATGTGCCCCCTTGCTGGTCATGTCCAATAATGGAGGGCTTGTTGATGAAAAGCAGATATCTAGGCCTACAGGTAGTTTAAAAGTCACAACTTTAAAATAAATTTACCAAAATCTTTGAAGATTTTGGATAGAAAATCCGAACCAAAAACTTTTACCTTTTCTAACTTAACTTTGTAACCATTTTAATTAGATGGTGTTACTCATTGGCTTAGTCAGTTGCATCTACCCACCTTCCAAAGAAACCAAAATACCAAACCAAACACTGGTTCTACATAGAGCCGTTCACATTTTTTTAACGCAACTACACCACTAGATGCCACTAAATCCTACATACTGGTCCTTTATTCTATCAGCAATCAGTATTCAGTAGAATAATAGGGTGAAGATAGTCAATAGTCTATATAGCTATAAGAGTTATTTATCCCTGCTTCATTGTAGGTGTCCTACTTAAGTAATCAAGGAAATGTATTTATCATTATACAACACAAGATTGTATAATGAAATAATAATTTCATTAAAACATAACATAAAAGTTTATAAAATAAACCAGTACCATAGTTATTTCTATACATATACATATACACAGGAATTACTTCTGCAAGGAATGTACAGCAGTAACAAGATATTGGCTGTGTAACTAAATGTATTCTGATTAGTTTTCTTTAACATGCATCCTGATTAGATGTTTCCATATTGGCTGTTAGCTAAATGCTTTCTGATTGGTTAACTGTCTGATTGTCTGTTTGAAAAATCCATCCTGATTGGTTGGATGCTAAATGCCTCCTGATTGGGTGTCTGTTAAATACATCTCTATTTGCTGTTTATTAAATGCATCCATATTGAATGTAAAAAGCATTATCTTGCACTCCACGCAACTCGGGCGCCACGCCACGTCACCCCACTCCCAAGCCCTCATTGCCAGACGCTGAGGGAGACCACTCTACATTGTCATACGTTTTAGACACTGCAAAAGACTTACGCTTTCATAGAGGGACTCTTCAATGCGAAAAGGGGAAATTCAGTGCCACGCCACGGACACACAGTTTGACGCACAGTAAATATTTGATTAACTTATGATCGTCTAGATTGCAGTGATCGAATATGAAGTCAATATGAGGAAATCTGTAGGAGTTAGTTAAAATAGAAGCCCTGAAATGCCGGAAATGGCATCACAGTGGCCGACTTTGACGGCACGCCACAGACACGCCCTTCAACGTACAGTCACAAATAGCACAACTTTTAATCGACAACATATGTTGACTGTACTGACTAATTTTGAAGTAGATTTGATAAGTCCCCTATTTATCTTGCAATTTAATACTTGACTTCCAGCGGTTTCCTACAATACTCCACGAACAATACTCGGTAGGAATTATGGTTTGTAGATGTAGCTAGTGGAAGGGGTAAGCTTTTTCACAGTATCTATTGGTCAGATACTGTTGGTGCAGCAGCTATGGTACAGACATCTTTCTGTCTTTTCCATAGGACTCGGTTGAAGATTGCATTCTTCGCGATTGCAGACATGCAGCAGAGTGGGTTGAGGCCAACAAACAACTGTTCTCTGCCAAAGTGGACCTGCTTGATGTTCTGTACATGGGGGAGGAGAACCAGGCTGAGGCTGCTCTACAGTATGGGAGGTTGTGGAAAGATCAAGTGGATGACCATGAAAAGGAATCAGTCCTGGAGCCCTTCAAATTCACATTTTACACACTGAGGACGTGGAAATTCTGTGAGGAAATAATGGACAAAAGAAATAATTTGGCCTATTGTGAATGTCACACAGATGGGGTTGTGGGCTACAGAACCTTTGATCATGTTGTGACTTGGTGTGTTTGTTTTTCTCATTGATCACTTAATAATTCACTGGGATTATACTGTAGATATCAAGAGTTAGGGTTGTATCTAGTGGTACTTAGGTGTTCCAGCAGCACAAGAACATAATTAGCATAGACATAGAACCAAAAATGAAATTTATGGTGGTTAAGAATAAAAATACAACAGAAAAAAATTGAAAAAAAAAAGGAGAAAAGAGCAGTGCAATAAAGTCAAAGTTAAATGATAATGAAAAGGCAGCGAAGTACTGTATAAACTGTAAAGTACACAATAAAATGTATAGGCCTATGACATCTTATGAGATTGGCTTATGAATGAGTAATAACTTAAAAGAAAATGTGTGCACTGACCAATGTTATTCTTGGCCTACATTTTTTTCAACAATTTGACCTCTTTTCAAGATCCTCAGCTTTATAGTAGGCTACAAAGACAATTGAGCCCTGAGTCATATCACCCACCGTTTGTTTTTCATAATGACTAAGTTGTAAAGTTACGCAGTGCATATGTGTGTATATTAGTCTACATATACGGCAATCATTAATGAGAAGTGTTTTGAAAAAGACAAAGGCTAATGCTTCAATTGTCCAAATCAAAAGCTTTATTTTTTACTTTGAATTAATACAGGTTATGGATGGCTTTTTGTCCTAGATTTGGAAAGAATAAATCAAAATGTCCACGTTGGGGCTCATGCGCACCGGCTACTGGGGGCTGGCTAGCTGTAGCGGCTAAAGATATCTCCGTGGTGCGGTGCCGTTCCTCTAACTCACTAAGCCTCGCCTCCAGCGCAGTAAATAAACTACACTTAATACAGGTACCATTATCATTAAAGGAGGCAGAGGAATAACTGAACATCTGACACACTTTTTTTTAAAGCGAAAAGTCGCTAAAAGAAGGAGTAACTCCGAGTGTTTAGGTAGAACTAGTCTATGTTTAAATTTTAAGCGGGAAAATAACCGCTGTACCAAGTAAAACAAATTTAGATTTAGCGTTCACCGACAGAGCTACAGCACCAAACAGTGTACACAGAGCAGGAAGTAAACCGGAAATGAGTCAGTACGCTTACCGTAGCACGTCAGCACGTATCCACACTCCTAAATGCCTCCTGTTGGGTGTCTGTTAAATACATCTCTATTGGCTGTTTATTACATGCATCCATATTGATTGTAAAAAGCATTATATACTACTAATTGGCTGGTTATTAAACGTCTTCTGATCAGCTAAAGCTGTTGTTTCTCATTGGCTTTGGCCCATGCCACAATTATGATTTTATTTTTTAAATGTTTGTTCATTTTATGAAATAAAACAAAACAATCAATGAATGTTTGCTGCAAATATTCTGTTTTATTTTTTTATTTATTTGTCAAATTTAGGATTATATGAAGCAATGTCCTGACTGTCTTTAGAGGATGCATGAACCATTATGCACAGGGGACAGCATGTTACAGTCATTTTATCTTCTCAGCAGCTGATTGTCATTATGCTGTAGGAGCTTACAAGCATTGGCTTAGTATCTCAAAATAATGAGAAATCTTTTTAAAATATTGACTTAGTATCTCAAAATAATGAGAAATCTTTTTAAAATATTGACTTAGTATCTCAAAATAATGAGAAATCTTTTTAAAATATTGACTTAGTATCTCAAAATAATGAGAAATCTTTTTAAAATATTGACTTAGTATCTCAAAATAAGTCATTATTTTGAGATACTAAGTCAATGACTTTTCAGAAACCTTTTTTTTTTTTGTCACATTGGCGGGATTGGGCTTCCATACTCTATTTTGCACTGTGCCAATGTGTAGATGTCATTTTAGTAAAGGTCAAGAAAAAAAGCCTTCTCTGTTTTCCATGACAACCGGAGACGCTGTCTCCTGATTGGCTGCTGCTACATCCTGTGTTTTCAGGCTTCAGTTCGCTAGCAGATGCTATTTTAAACTACACTTCCGTCGTGAGCAGTGGATTAACAAGTACATCTTAGAAAAGACGTAAGTCAATAATAAGAGAGTTGTCTTTCGGCGGCCATTTCAATGAAGGAATTTGATAAACATGACTGATACAAAAAGCCGTTCGTTGTTGCTACACTGCTAAACAGCTAGCTAAGTGTGGTGCTACCAACAGTTGTGTAGGATTATTAACGTTAACTGGATGTGAAGATTCTCAGTCAGAATAAAGACGAGGCAGTTGTCGGAACAGGTCGTCTTTGTCACTGGGATGCAGCTGGGATGGACGTTTGGACGCCATTTCTAATGTCGAGTAAGAATAATGTATTGATAATGAATATTAGCTCTCGAATCCATGTTTCTGCATGTCACCTGTTTATCTTAAAGCAGTCATACGTCAAAGGGTCAGTTTCAGGAAGAAAAGCGTCTGTGTGAATTGAATGTTGTGTGTTCTTCTTCACAACAAGTGAAACCACCGTTCAAATAAATATTAAAGATATTAGCCTTACGCCCTAGAGGTTAATATTAGGCATCAAGTATTCAGATTGATTTAAAGTCCTCATTTTCTTTTTGTTCCTACAGTGTGCTTTTTGAATGATATTAAAGGTGGGGCCTACAAGCATGATCTGTGACATCACAAATAGTTTGGAAGTCAATCCTGGTCCAGTATGCAACTTGTACAGTGTGACGTAGAAAGTTGCAGTCACCATGGCAGCTTCACCATTATACTATATACGGTCAATGGTGCACATACACTGAGAATGGACTTTACAGTGAAGCAGACATATTTTATTCAGCAGGAAAACCTACAATCCACATGAAACTGAAATCAGAGTGCCATTTGGTTCCTCATATTTATTTTTTTCCTGTAAAAACAGGTAGCTAGGGAGGGACTTGTTGTGGAAGCCGACAACACCAAATGTGTGTTACTTCCGACAGCCATGCAGCTATAGCAATTTGACGACAGGGAATACAGTACCGAGGTGTTTCTTTTGCCTGGTTTGACTCCTAGCACTCTGAGTCAGCTAATGTTAGCTGCACAAGTTAACTAGGTAATGGTATCTAACATGACTCTTAGCTAGTTAGCTGCTTTAGCAACATGTCCATCAGGAAAGTCCATACACCACCTCAGTATCATCAAACTAACCTCCATCTGTCTCGGAGGCTGTATTTGGCCCTGGTCCAGCTGCTGAGCCTGGTTTCGTTGTATGCTAATGGAAGCTACAGCAGCAGTTGATGCAGAGCAACCGGGGGACGTCAGAGGGAAAATCAGAACATATTTTCTTTATAAAATATGATACAGTTTTACCAGAGCCCGTCTACGGAGAGCCTGGCCACTCTCTGTTAAGTCCCATTGTACCGAATTTTGGTTGCAGTTCCACCAGAATTCCACTGGGGGCGATCGCCCATGAGTGCAGAACGAATGGGAGCAGATGGAGCTAGACGGCTAAATTTGTCTCTTTCACCTGATTGTCGTTGAGAAATCTCAGATTTGATTGTAGTTTTTAAAGTTCAACATGGGTTATAGGTCGAAAGTTGAATGAACGAGTACTTATGTCCATTCGATTTCTTACAGGACGAGTTGTTGTTGCCCATAACATGCTAGCATTCTGCTAATGAACTCTGATTGGTCAGTGAAGGACTGATTACGACCAGAGATCCCGCTTGATGGCATCGTGGCATCCGAAGCGGGACCAGAATGTTAAGGCGGATTTTTTCGCCCAAGTCCTTTCTTCTTTCTTTTTTTTGGGTTGCTGGTACTTTTATCTGCCTATCGTTATGTCTGTGTTGTCGATGCCTCGAGAGAAAAGGAAGTGCAGAGCGCGGAAGCACAAAGTGACTCGAGGCTTGCCGTAAAGCAGTATCTCTGGCCGTACGATGTGTATGACGTCATTGACATTTTAAAAGACTTTTTAAAGCAAATAAGTGACTCTAAAAAATCTAACACCCAGCAATGTGTCATTTCTATGCATCCCCTTTTGAATGCAACATTCAAATTACTAGACAAAAAATGATATCCTGAGAAAAGTGGATTTTGAGGGGTATAGCTCCATAGACCGCCATTCATTCTGCACTCATCCTGTGAGCGCCCTCATATGGAACCAGAGTGGAACTGCAACAGTTCAGAAGCCGGAAGTTTACTGAGAGTGGAACTTCTCTCCTTATTAGACATTCTCTGGTTTTACCCAAATCTCTGAGTTGTCTTTTGTACAGTGATAATAAAGTTGTGTTTTGTACAATGATAATAAAGTTGTGTTTTTGTACAGGGAGGTCAGGCCCCAAGAAACACTCAGCTTTGGCACAAAGCCATGTTGTTGCTAACAGACTAAGCCCTGGCTACACTGCCTACCTGAGCGATGTATAACAGCTATGGCGCTGAACAGCTCCAACCTCTACTCTGTTGTGAAGCATCGCTGCTGCTGTAATTAATGAATCTTCGCTCTAAGTTACTAAAAGTTGATTAATGGGTGGATGTCATGATATTATTGGTTGAAATTGGTTGTTTCATGTTTAAGCAAGCAGATGTCACATTTTGTTTTACAGGAAGAAAAAAATATCTTGATGCAATATGACTCGTGCAATATGAGTGGGGATGTAATCTTAAAGGGTTAAAAAGGAAAATAAGTAAAAGTAGCATGCAAGGGAGATATACACCATAACAAGTAAAGGTCTTATTAATATATGACCTAAAGATAGTACCATCAAAAAAAGCTATGTGTAGCATTTTACTGTTGGTCGAGGTAAATCTAATTTAAGTACTTTATATACAGTTTGGTTAATTTGATCTATAATAATGCATCATGCATTTGTTCATTAAATGGTTTGAACGGGAAATCTGCATATGTAAAGTAACCCAGATAAATGTACTGAGGTAAAAAGTACAATATTTCCCCCTGAGATATGGTGGAGTAGAAGTCTATGGTAACATATAGTGATAATAAAAATAATTAAAGCTGCAAGCAGCGATGAATGGGCCCTCGCACTCCACGCAACTCGGGGTGTGCTGCGGCCCCATCACGTGCAAGTGTAATATGTGCAGACCGCAACATGAATTTTTGTATAAAGGATGTGATCTACATGTGTACCACCTTTCATACTCATAGGTGAAACGTGCCGTTGGGGCTGCTCAATAGGGGGCGCTGTCGAGCCATTTCCCCGTGCATTTGTCCGAGACCCATAAATTCGCCAAGTCTCGCCACAGCTGACCTGTATGCAGAATTTCAGGACTTTTTAAATATGAAAAAGCCTCAAGAAAGCCATTCAAAATGTCTGAATAATAATAATAATTCCTACAATTACAATAGGGCCTTCGCACGATTTGTGCTCGGGCCCTAATAATAATAATAATAATAATAATAATAATAGTAGTAGTAGTAGTAGCAGCAGTACCAGTAGTGGTAGTAGTAGTAGTAGTATTTTAGGCAGAATGTCCAGCTGTGACATTTTGCTGAATTGCTCTATCACAGACACCGTGGAACAGTATTAATGTATTATGTCTGTTCACAGCTCTGCTGCATTGTCTGGGATGGATCACAACCCAGAGACTCTGAAAGACCCTGCTGCAGAGTCTGGTCCGACAGCAGGTGATGTGCTTGCACACACACACACACACACACACACACACACACACACACACACACACACACACACACACACACACACACACACACACCACCCCCCCCACCACACAGCTTGCTTCATTGTCTGTTTTACTTTAAATGGGACCATAATTTTCTAAATGAACATCATGCTATAGGGAAGAAGACTGAAAATAGAGATTGAGACCATAAACTCATTAGGAAACTGTTTACTGTGATAATTAGTTGTTGTGCTAACCTTAGCCAACTATGTTTGGGAACTTTTTTCCATGTTTTTTGTCCGTGTGTCTCATTCTTGGGACAATTTTTCCCGACCGCGTCTCCGTCTGGGCTCAACAATGCGGTGGGTCTATTGTTTACACCCGAGATCAGCTGTTGTCGCTACAACCATTGGCGTTGATGCGGGAGAGGCCTGAAATCCCCAGAGAACTGAGCAGGAAGTACAGGGGATGTAAGGCTGGACATAAACACCGGGAAAAGAAGCGGAGATATAAAGCATCTCTCCCTTGGGGGACTTGCTATTCTTATTAACAACAAATGGTGTCATGGTCACGTTACTGTAAAGGAGCTTGTGTGCAGCCCGGACATTGAACTGCTTGCCGTGAGTCTGCGGCCATATTATCTGCCAAGGGAGTTCTCACACGTGATCATCCTGGTTGTTTACATTGTTTACAAACGCGGTGCGTGCGAGTGACGTCATCCACACCGTCGTGGCGGGACTCCAGACACGGCACCCAGACACATTAATTGCGATATCAGGGGACTTCTATCACATCACTCTGGCTGCAACACTGCCCACTTTCAAGCAGTTTGTGGACTGTCCCACCAGGGAAAACAAGACACTGGACCTGCTGTATGCCAATGTTAAGGAGGCTTACAGCTCCACTGCCCTTCCTCCACTTGGAAGATCAGACCATAACCTCATCCACCTGCAGCCCCTGTATAAGCCCCAAGTCCAGCGGCTTCCTGTGACCACCAGGACTGTGAGGAGATGGTCACAGGAGACCGATGAAGCTTTGCGGGGCTGCTTTGAACTAACAGACTGGGAGTTGCTCTGTGATTCGCATGGAGAGGACCATGATGATCTCACGGACTGCATAACGGGGTACATCAACTTCTGTGTGGACAGTGTTGTTCCTACAGTGACTGTACGCTGTTTCCCCAATAACAAGCCGTAGGTCACCAGAGACATCAAAGTCCTGCTGAATGAGAAGAAGAGGGCCTTCAGAGATGGGGACAGGGAGCAGATGAGGCAGGTTCAGAGGGAGCTTAAGGAGAAGATCAAACAGGGTAAAGACAGCTACAGGAGGAACCTGGAGCACAAACTCCAGCAGAACAACTTGAAAGACATGTGGAGCGGCATGAGGAGCATCACTGGCTACATACCATCTGGCAGCCAGACAATAGGAGGTGGTACTGAACGAGCCAACGAGCTGAATCTGTTTTTCAACAGATTTGATGAGGGCCCCGGACTACCCCTCCCCCAGCTCCTCTACAAAAATCCACCTCCAAACCACCAGCCCTGCTGCCCCCCCTCCCCCTCCGGTCCTTCCTGACTGTGCCCTACCTGTTCTCTCCCCCCACTATCACCTCTCCCCACCCCCATCAACACACATGGCACAGACCTTCACTGCAGAGCAGGTGAGGAAGGAGCTGTGCAGACTCCACCCAGGCAAGGCAGCAGGTCCCGACGGTGTCAGCCCAAGGGCCCTCAAAACATGTGCAACCAAACTGAGTGGAGTCCTGCAGCACATCTTCAACCTGAGTCTGGAGAGGGTCCCTGTGATGTGGAAGACATCCTGCCTGGTACCAGTACCGAAGAAGGCGCGTCCCAGCTCCTCCAACGACTACAGACCGGTGGCGCTGACGTCTCACCTGAGTCCTGCCACCTGCAGAAGTTTGCGGACGACTCTGCAATTGTTGGCTGTGTCAGTGAGGGGAAGGAGGAGGAGTACAGGGGCGTTGTGGACTCCTTCGTTGAGTGGTGGCCAACTAACCATCTGCATCTCAACTCCACCAAGACTAAGGAGCTGGTGGTGGATTTCCGCAGGAGGAAATCTACCCCCACACCCATCTCCATCAACGGTGTGACTGTGGATGTTGTCCAGGATTACAAATACCTGGGAGTACACCTGGATAACAAACTGGACAGGGCCAAGAACACTGAGGCTGTTTACAAGAAGGGCCAGAGTCGACTCTATTTCCTGAGGAGGCTCCGGTCATTCAACGTATGTAACATCATGCTGAGGATGTTCTGACAGTCGGTGGTAGCCAGTGCCATCTTCTTTGCTGTTGTGTGCTGGGGCAGCAAATGTCACTTTACCATTTTTTACACAATTTTCACTTCATCACTTTATTTAGTTGTACTGTACCATAGTTAATTTATGCTGCTACAATTTTTATCACTTTTACCACTGTTACCACTTTATCCAATTGCTTCTTATCACTTAGTTAGTTTGTACTTATTTTATTTCAATTTATGCTGCTAAACTGCACGGTGCATATTGTTGTATATACTGTACCTACGTTTAACCACAATTTTTGTTGCACTTTGTCACATTTAGTTACTTGTTTTCTTCTTTTCTACTTATGTTACCTGTAAGTGCTTGCATTTTGTTGCATTTAGTTAATTGTTTGATTTTTTTTGTTAGCCTTTATTTTAATTTAATTTAATTTAATTTAATTTAATTTAATTTTATGTTAGCTTATTTTTACTCTAACCCTGTAGTACCTTACTTTACCACCTTTGTATTGAAACTGTTGCACAGTAATTTCCCTTGGGATCAATAAAGCTTCTTGAATCTTGAATCTTGAATCTTGAATAAATCAAATCAGAAGTAGGGTATTTTCTACATAAGACTGCATTCAATTCAATTCAGTTTTATTTGTTTAGGACACTTTTCAAATAGAGTAGGTCTAGACTGTACCTAACAGTTCCCACCACGAGCAAGCACTTGGCAATGGCGGCAAGGAAAAACTTCCTTTTAAGAGGCAGAAACCTTGGACACAGCTCTAGGCTGTCTGCCTTGACCAGTTGGGGTTAAAGAGAGAGGGAGGGGGGTAGAGGGGTAAAGAGAGAAGGACAAAGACAGAGACAAAGGTGCACAGCAACAACAATACTAATAGAAATGACATATGATGATGATGATGATGAACATGAAGTAGAAGATGATGACAACGACAACAGCCACAACGATGGGGGACTATGAACAATAATAATAGTAGTTAAAACTGCAAGCAGTGATCATCGGGCCCTCGCACTCCACACAACTCGGGGTGTGCTGCAACCACATCATGTGCAAGTGTAACATGAACATTGGCACGTAGATGTGTTTAGGCCAGGGCTCTTAACAAACTTGTGAAGTTTGGCTGCAAATGGAGAATCTGCACTGCAGTTAGGTTTAGCAGTAGGGTTAGGGTTTCCATTGTCATGTCAAGGCTGATTTTTGAAGGCACGCCGTTTAACCGAATTAACAAATGTAACATCCTGAACTTCTCCGGATTGTACTCACCAATTCTAAAGTTGTTCTGATAAATTCACTTGGAGGAGTTTGTTAAAATAGAAGCCCTGAAATTATCAGAAATGCGACACAGTTTGACATTTGATTCAAAATGGCCGACTTTGACGGCACGCCACGGACAAGCCGTTAAAATTTTTTAACTGTACTGGAAATTACCACGAAATTCAAAATGACCGACTTCATGTTGTGTTTGGGTTATAGGCCCAAGAGGCTTTTTGGCTTATCCCATCATGATACACATGCGTACCAATTTTCGTACATGGTAAATGGTAAATGGACCTGTACTTGTACAGCACCTTTCTAGTCTTCCGACTACTCAAAGCGCTTTTACACTACGTGCCACATTCACCCTTTCACACACATTCACTCAGTGATGGCAAAGTCCATCGAACAGAAACTAACTCATTCATACACATTCACACACCGATGCACAGCATCTGGAGCAATTTGGGGTTCAGTATCTTGCTCAAGGATACTTCGACATGTGGCGGGAGGAGCCGGGGATCGAACCAACAACCTTCCGATTAGTGGATGACCCGCTCTGCCTCTGAGCCACAGCCGCCCAAGGCAGGTATGACCGACATACTTGTCTTGGGGTCTGATATTGGGGGGTGTGGCTAAGCCATTTTGCGACACCCTTCTACGGGACCAAGACCGTTAGCGTTTGCTACGACTGAATTTTGTGCAAAGTTTCATGAGTTTGCATGTTTAGCCCCCCAAAAAGTGTTCAAATGTTAACACAAAAGCTGATCGTGTGTTCTGGCGGTTCATAAAAATTTGATGCCATGCCACAGACACGCCCTTTAACAAATATAGCACAACTTTTAATCGTGAATGTCTTTAGATGGCTGTGTCCAAATCTAAAGTCGATCCGATCAGTTCCCTAGGAGGAGTTCGTTCAAATACAAGTGTGTAAATCGCCAGAAATGACCGCTTAATCAAAATGGCCGACTTCCTGTTGGGTTTGGGATATGGTGTCCACTGGATTTTTTGTTCGTCTGGATATGCGTGTGCCGATTTTTATGCATATCAGTGAAAGGGGCCCCGGGTGGTACAGTTTATGGGCCCCTGAGGGGCCATGCTCATAGTGGACCCCTAGAAAATACAAATTTTTTCACCACAACTGATGTGTGTATCATGAGTTTTCGAGCATTGGAAAGCCTCCCAAAAAAATCAGGAAATCAATATAGAACCAGAAGAGTAGTTCTGGTGCCCTGACTTTAGAGGACGCTTCAGTAAACGTTTAAAATAAACTCTAACTCTAATAATCTCTTTGGTGCTTCCGACTCTGCTGTGTAGCCTGTTAGTGGGAAGTGTTAGGTGTTATGTGAGATTATTCAGTTTTGACAGCCTAAAAATTAGAAGATCAGAAGAGCTTGTGTGGTGGGATTTGTATTTGACTCATGGTTCTTAACCGGATTATTTAGATTACTGTGATGATTGGCAAAATTGGCCTTTTTCAAAGCAGTCATTTTGACATGAAATAGTATTATTTGGTTCTGTTCTATTCAGGTCAAATGAAACCAGGGTCCTACATGATGGCCCACTGGAAAGGCTCTGCTACACTAAATGGAACATGAACTTAATTAATATTATTGGTTACATCTGTGTCTACCCTACTATTTCATGTCAAATGGGCTGCTATGAATAGGCTCATGCGAGAACAGCCGGGCATGCACATAATCGATCACCGGTGATCGCCACACAATGCATGCCCTTTAGATTTGTGTCCCACTTGATGCTGACTTGCTCTGATGTTATGCACATGAGGGCATCGAGCCACAGTTTTAAGAGCCAGACGCTGCAGTTGCTCCCACCGACTGCAAGGCCTAGGGCATGATTGGAAACACCTGGCTGTTGCTAATTGGTTCTTAGTTTTGACCATGTTTTATAGAAAATCCTAAATGTTTTTCTTTCCAGACGAGTTTCATTTCATCTCCAACAAGCCTAATATCTTTAGTGGTGACCTAATGCTCCAGGAGAACTAAAAGCTAAAGGAGTTAAAGGAGTCGTAGGACCTTTCAAAAGCATCTCTTCAGTTATTTTTTTTTTTTCCTAACCTTTATTTATTACATTTCATCACCTTCATGGTTCTTTAGGAACTGTGGAAAATAAAACAAGAACCAGTCTCTGTCTTCTTAAGGTTCCAGATCCCCATGTTGTTTCTTTGTAGGGGAAAGGGGCCAGAGGTGGTGACAGTGTGATGTTGATGTTTTCTTTGTTTTAGCTATTGTCTGATTATTGTGGGTTTTGTGTGTCCCTCTCTTTCAGACTGTGACAATTTTGAGTCATTCCGCACAGAAAAGGAGCAGGTAAGGTTTTTTTTGTTTTTTTTTGTCCAAACCTGAAAGTACAAATTTTGATTTTATTTACTCTTCATTACACTAAAACAGTTGTTCCAACTGTTGTTTGTACGATGTAGCCCCACAATGTTTTACAAAACACTTATAACACTTCCCAACATCAACAATGTGCATTGTGCAAATAACTTCATCATAGTGCAATGCCCATACTACTGCCTGCCAGACTGATGTGCTTGAGCTGACACTCTTTTAGTTGGCTAACTGAGCAGTGAAAGCAGAAATCATTGAGATTTATTCAACAATATAACAGAACAATTGCAACTGCTTACAAATTTAAGTGTAAAAAATTTAACTATTGAGCAACTGTAAACATCACTCACACTGTGGTCTTTGGACTTGTGTGTCATCCAAGGTACGCTTATATCTCCTCTTCACCTGTTGTTTACTAACTGCGTCTGCGACGCCATGCAAAAAGATAGTGATGGTGCGTTCAAGGCGCCTCGAAAACACGCGTGCAGAGGAGATAAACTATGTAATAATCGATGTAACCCTGGGTTTTACCGATGCAGACACGCAAAGAGAGATACATTGCGCATTTAGCCGGCAGTTGTATCCGATGCACACTGAAGCTACCGGTGCACTCGCATCGCAGACGTCTGTCTCGGACCACCGATTCAAATCGGTGAATCTCTCCATCCCTATTGTGTACAGCAGCAGGCAGCTTGTTGTTCTCAGTGAAAAAGCTCTGATGAATCCAGTGTACACTACCTGCCCAGCATCAAACAGAAGACATACTAAGTTAGAGACTAGCTGGTGTAGAGAATTTTGCATTTTCTCTATGTGGCCAAGCACTTCCTCATTATCTACCAAGGAAAAGTGTATACACTAAAATGTTTCATTCAAGTCACTATCGATAATTATTAATGATCTATTTTTAGTAGACCAGGTGAAAATGTATGCCTTGTGTTCGTGGGTCAGCCCTTTTTAGAGAACAGCAGCTGTCTGTGGTGCTGATCAAAGGTTTGCAGTTGCAGAGTTTTTGTGTGTCTATACTACTTGTACACAAGTGTGCTTTTTGGGGCGGGGGGTGGTAGGGGAAAAGAAAAATATTTGCATCGGGGCCAGTCACAAATACAAATATGTTATGCTGCTGGTACCCACTTCATGTTTCAAGGCACACAGGTAATACTGTTAATGTTTTGGCATTGTTACTGAAGAGTTCTCCATTGTGGACTGCCTGTGTGTTGTTTCTCGAGATGTAAAATGTAGGACATGACTGACAACATGCTGCATACTCACATATGATTCACTCATAACACGCTCTAACAAAGGATATGATATTTATGAGACCGGTATGAATTTCATGCATTTAAGTGAGACAACTGAACAGTTTTCTTATTGCCAATAATGAAATATCTATTGACAATACATGTTGCTCTTGTTTATTGCACAGGCCCAGCAACTGTCACAAAGTGTCGCACAATAACAATTAATTAATTTTCTCTGTTTGTCTTTCAGAGGAAATGCAGTTCCTGCTTGGTGACAGAGGATGTGTCCACTGATGGTACAGTGTCTACATGTGACAGCAGCAGATAAAGCCTGTACAACACTGCAGCATGAAAACCACACACTCTTGTCAGCCAGCAGCACTGACCACATAAGTTCTATCCCAAATCCTTTCTACATACTAATTCCACACATTATGTACTACATACTAATTGTCATTGTATACTGTTTTAGAGGTTGGTATACAAAAAAATAAAAATACTTCGAAGCTTAATACTAACTGGAAATTATACAAATCAGATGACGTCAGATGTCCATCACACTGCAAAATATCACAGCAAAATAAACTTCACAAATAGAAACCAAAATGCCTCTCTTAAAACCCAAATTTCTTTCTGGAGCTGTTTCACCCCCATGCACGATTACTTTTTTAAAATCTCTTTAAACAGCATCTCTTTAAACAGCAGCTCCATTTTATAAAGCGTGACTTTTAAAAGCCAACTTACTGTAGTTGCAGGTTGGCTTTTTTTACACTGCAGTAAACTAACCGATCTTTTATTGCAGGTTTTTTCAAGAAAGAAACAATATTTAAAGTTTCTATATCTAACTTTCAGAAAACTGTTGTTAATAGTGATACCATTAAGTGGCCATTAAGTTAACTGCAGTCAGCGTCCTGTTGCTCACGCTCGGCACCAGCCAAAAGTGACATACACTAGACTGAACGCTGGAAAATAAATGACAATCATCTGAAATGTTCCTATATATTATTTGGACCATTGACTCCATGCTACAAACAGCGATCCTTCATATAATTGATGCAACTGTGTCTTACTCTATCAGCTCTTTATTTCCTTTTTCATTAGAATGCACAAAGAATGACATGTCTGACACTCAAAATCTCATGGGGAAGGACCCCTAGGCCCCTGCTTGATTTGTGTTTCCCGCAGCATGAAACCGTTGCCAAGATGTTGCATTTTTTTCCATGTTGAAGGTGGCAACCTTGCTGCCAGCCGCCCTGCAAACACCAGCCTATAAAATAACCCGTAAATGGCAAGCCAGCCCAGTCAGCCCCTAGAGTGTTGATGAAGCAAGCTGACAGTATTTTGCTAAGTGGCTCAGTGGCAGAGCGGGTCGTCCACTAATCGGAGGGTTGTTGGTTCGATCCCTGGCTCCTCCCACCACGTGTTGAAGTATCCTTGAGCAAGATACTGAACCCTGCATTGATGTGCATCGGTGTGTAAATGTGTATGAATGTGCTTTGCCATCACTGAGTGAATGTGTGTGAATGCCGTGTAAAATCGCTTTGAGTGGCCGAAAGACTAGAAAGGCGCTATACAAGTACAAGTCCATTTACCATCCATTTACCATTTCCATTAGCTGTCTAGCAATTCCGCGTTAGCCAGCAAGCTAACATTACCCAGCTAAAACCACAATATATTTCACAAGCTTTGCCTTAATCCTAGCTTTAACTTTGTGTTGGACTCTGTGTTGTGGTGGATGTCAGTCACTTGTTGACATTAGCGGACTCTATTTATTTGCTAATGTTATCTAGTGTTGCTCACTGTTGACACTGTAGGCAAGTGGGGAGAGAAGGCACTCTGGAATGTGCAGAAACATCACATCCTTTGGATTTTCACTGACAATCCGACCCGCATTACTACATAGAAACCCATATAAATCAAGAGAAAATCAGGGAAGGTCTAATTTTTTTTAAGTCACGTTCCAACCCGTTCCACAAAATTGCAATAAATCTGATTGTAAATACTTCAGAATCTTACATATGGAACCTTTAACTTTGGTCGGTACGAAATATGCATACCCAAGAATGTCACCTATTTTTCCTGCAGGTTGTTTTTTTTTTTTTTAACTGTTGAAAATGTGTATTGACATTGCAGATAACTGTTCCTCTAACTCACTCACTCTCGTTTGCTTGGATGTGTGTCCCTCTAGGTTCCTGGTCACAGAGGTCCATCTCCCGTTCCTTGCAGCGAGCTGAGACTTTACTCAGAAGCACCTTAAATCCCAGTCTGAAGTGGTTGTTCCATGACCGCAGTCAAGATGAAGAAGAGGAAGAGGGACATTTTGTCGTCGCTCATAACCTGGTGTCCCGGTCCTCTGCACGTCTCCTACATCTCCAACAAGCTCTTCTGACTGTTGCACGCCAGTGGCAGCTGGTTGGTGGGGCACAGGTGCAATCAGCCCAGGTGAGTTTCTGGGATTACAGAGAAGCTGGATTTAAGGTGTAATGAAACAAGAACTGTGGCAGTCAATATGAGATCTGGAAGACCAAGAAAACTCTTGGAGAGAACTGCTCGTTGGAGACAGAGGAGACAAATTGTATAAATAATTGTTAAAAATGAGAAGATAAATATATGATTAAGATTAGTTATATTATTGCTTTTCAAATAAGAACTCTATATTAATTAAAACTTTGGAAAAACAGAGAGAAGATCCAGTGTCATAATGTGAGCTGTCCTGATCACTGGAAAAAAAATATCCTCTCTTCCTCGCCCATCAGGTGTGTGTTCGAGGCCTCACAGCAGAAGGCAGTGTTCTCCTCCTACCGTCCTCCCCCTTTGTACAGGGGAACTACAGAGCTCTGTGGAGGCTCCTTGAGCAGCGATCCCTGCTGCTCTTCATACACGAGTACACCAGGAGGGCTCGTCTAACAGCAGTATACGTATCCAGAGTGAGCCACCTGCTGGAGGATTATTTGAAGAAACCACACCAGGTGAGGCAAAACTGCACGAGTTTCTCAAACTGTTTAAAAGTTTCTGTAACCAACTTTACAGCTCCTTGCAGCTTTCATAAGCTCACCAGCTACTCTCAAAATGTGTCTGTTTCTGTTGCGCGCTTGCCGGGCTCCAGTTCTCATGCTCATTCTCCTATGCTAGCTCCTATGCTAGTAGTGTAAACAGACCTGCCCCTGTTATTTAAGCCATACCAGTCCGGGTAGATACTGTGTTACAAGAGAAAAGGCCTGTGTTGCAACCATTGAAAGTATATATTTATATATTTTTTTGTTGTTGAACTAAAGTCCCCTGATACTTTCCTCCCAGTGAAGCTCCGGAACTGAGCCTGACACTTTTTTTTTTTCTGTGACTATTTGACTAATGAAAAGTGGGTCGACTAAGACTCTTCTCAATGACCAATGGTTTAGTGGACTATTAGGGGGCAGCCCTAAAAGTTAGAGAGATTTTTTTTATTGTGTAGTTGCTGTGACTATGGTAAAAGGACAGGTTGAGGTATTTGCAGTTATGAATGACACTTCTGGGCAACACCATCAGATGTCATGTCAAGCTGTTGTGAGCATTACTTCAACTTCCACAGATGTGGCACGAAGGCATCATGCATATATATACATTTTCCAGCAGCAAATTACGTACATTCTCTCTCCTGAAGTTTCACAGCGGCACACTGCACGGCGGCATACAGAATTTCATGGCAATCCAGATATTTCGGTCTGGTGGTGCACTGACCATTGCCACCCCTAGATGCTATGAGAAAGCTGACATCAAATGTATGCTCAGCCTTATAAGCCTTTTTGACCAGATAGATTTAGAGTTGTGTAGTGGATGAGAACAGGACGTCAGAGAATATCGGTAACTGTAACGTTAGATGGACAGTCCCTCCAGAAAAACGTGATTATGCGATCGTATAATTCAATGCATAATCAGCCAAAGTCCGCATATTTATGTGGGGGCCGCATTTTTTCAAATACGCCGCACTTTCGCAGCATAAATTGCCGATTTCCGCGCAAAATACGCGGGGCTTGCATGATTTCATAATCCCCGCATTTTCGTTGCAAAAAAGTCGCATATATTTTAGCAGAAAGTTGAAAAATGTTGTTTACTTCACACAAGAGCAGCCATTTTCCCCTGTTGCCATGGGAATGTTATGAAGTCACGTAATTACGCGACGTGAACATCATCGAAAAGCTGCAAACCCCGCGATGAAAACCTTACAGTTGTAAGCATATTAGTAGTATGTAAATTTACGTTACAGTAAGAGATTGCACTTTGTGCATTGGAAGAACCTATTTTAACAGAAGATGTCTGTTTTGTATAACTACCTCTGTAAACAGGAAGCACACATTTTTATTTTTTATATTTTATTTATTCATTTTTACAGAAGTTGTAGCATATTCCTTTTGTAAAGCTACAAAACTTGTTTGACTCATCAATGTTTTGTAAGTTTGAGTCATGTGTTTATTAAGGTCTGAAATAAAACAAGATGACAACTTAAATATTCCCAGCACTTTCTGTGATGTAAATGGAGCGCTTTTACACTACGTGCCACATTCACCCTTTCACACACATTCACTCAGTGATGGCAAAGCCCATCGAACAGAAACTAACATTCACACACATTCACACACCGATGCACGGCATCGGGAGCAATTCGGGGTTCAGTATCTTGCTCAAGGATACTTCGATATGTGGCCCCAGGAGCCGGGGATCGAACCCACAATTCCGATTAAGGAAAGACCTGCTCTGCCTCTGAGCCACAGCCGCCCGTATGTATGCTTGCTTATCATAGGAAGTAATAAGAAATGACTCTTTACATTTAGGTAGTACCCTAGTGAGAACAGGGTGTTGGGGAATCAATTTTTTTTCTCTTTTTCATCAAACCGCAGTTTTTGCAAGTTCCCGCAATTTTTGCAAGTTCCCGCAATTTTTGCAAGTTCCCGCAATTTTTGCAAATATCCCGCATATTCCATCGCATTTTTTTTGAAAACGCGCCGCATAATCAAGGATTTTTGTCCGCAACAATCACAAAAAAACAATTTTTCTGGAACGACTGGATGGAATTTAAATATTTTAACTAAAGCCCTGCCTTTCCGTCGGACAGTTTGATTGTTTTCCCACGCTGTTCAGAATCTGCTGTCTGTCTGCCTGTATCCATGTGAATGCAGCATTATTCCCAGTGAGAAAAGAAAAGAGTTTTATAAAATATGTTTGCATTTCTCAAAGTAGTAATGTTTGTATCTGTGCTGAAAGTCAGGTAGGTAAGTGCTTGTATAGAGACACCTGAAGTGATGCTTATTCACAAACATAAGCATTCTCCTCTCCTTTTCAGACCCTGTCCACCTGGTCTTCTTTCAGGCTTGGTCTTTGCTCTCTGAGCCAGGAGCTCCGGGTCCATCTCAACCACTGGTCTTGTCTGTTCTCCAAAGTCCAGTCTGACCACTATTTGAGACCTGCTCTGGTCCAGCAGACAGGGATGCTGGTGGAAATGAAACATAATCTGGATTTACTTGGTCTGCAGGCACTGGTTTTGATGGAGCATTATGTGTATGTCATTCTATCTGCTGTAGCCCAGACTGAATTAGACTCTGTACCAAGAGAAGTCCTGGAGGATATTTTAGCAGGTGCAGAGCTGTATAACCAGGCAGTGTGGGAGAGAGCACAGCACAGCACCACCCAGCTAAGGACTGCAGTGTTGCAACAGGCACATTATTCTACACTGGATTCTGGTCTTCCAAACAGCAAAAGGCATCACCCTGCTGCCTTCTCAGTCAAAGAGCTGATGATGATTTTAGCAGCTCATCATGCAGAGACAGCAGCCAAGCAGCTGAACAGCTGGGCTTCTGACCAGAGCTGTCACATTTGTCAAGACCACACAAACTACAAGGCCTACACATGTTCTGATAGCTGTGGGACCTCTGCACTGAGATCTGAGTGGACCTGGCAACAACTGCAGCATGCTTACCTTATCTCCTCTCCTCTGTTTTCTACGAATAATCACCCCCCGTTGCAGCCATCACCTTGTCAAAACTGCCATAAAACTCCTCCTGTTTACATCCCTGATCCTCATCCGGACAGCACAATCTTGGAAATCCACCATCCTGTATTAGCCAAGCAACATAGAACAGAGGGCTCAAATACAGACCAAACGAGCCAGTGCCAAACATACATATCCCAGACTGGAATAGCCAAGACCAGTGTAGAAGCATTAGTCTCAGTACAACCAAATGTAAAAAGACAGAACCGTTTAGAAGACTGTAAACCCCTGCAGACCACTTCACCCCCTTCATCCACCTTCCACCATCTCTCAGCCCTGCCTCTGTCAAGGGTTTATCAACAGGATCATTCCTCGGCAGAGCTACTTTTTCAGCTGCTGGTTTCCTCCACTGACCTGCTTGCTCCACTGGCATCACATACACCTACACCAACTGAGCACCTGCCCCCAAATACAAAAACTAATGTGCTATTACCAAGTGTAAAGACTGACCCAATGACTTTAACTGCTCCAAGCATAAATACAGCTGATTCAGTGGTATTGAATAGACTTAGTACAGAACTGAACAAGAACCAACCTATGGACGGAACTCAGCAGGAATGGGCTGAACTAGAAATAATAACCAGGCCAGAAGCCACTGTCAGGTAATGTAAAGATTAACCAGCCACTGTCTGTTGTGTTGATTGTTTATTCACTGTTGCTAGACATCCAAGGTCTCATAATGCTTTGATCAAATGCTTATCAGATTGTCTGAAACCACCTTTTCTGACGACAGAATTAGACATATTTGTAACTCCACTTCACATAGTAAAGTATTTTTTTAATTCTTTGCACAACTACTTGTGGGCGGCTGTGGCTCAGAGGAAGAGCGGGTCGTCCCCTAATCGGAAGGTTGTTGATTCGATCCCCGGCTCTTCCAGCCACATGTCGAAGTGTCCTTGAGCAAGATACTGAACCCCGAATTGCTCCCGATGCTGTGCATTGGTGTGTGAATGTGTATGAATGAGTTAGTTTCCTTTCTTTGCCATCACTGTGTGAAAGGGCGAATGTAGCATGTAGTGTAAAAGCGCTTTGAGTTGTTGGAAGACTAGAAAGGCGCTATACAAGTACAGGTCCATTTACCATTTACTTCCATCATTTCTATCTCCATCAAGGAGAGAATCTGAAATGTACCCCATTACCCCATTCTATTGCCCAAATGATACTTTCTGCATCCTTTTAGCCCAGAGTAGGGCTGGGTCACTTACGTCAATACTTTTATGGCACTGACCGAATTGCATCCATACTACTAGTATTGAAAAATGCCTCAGCAACGGTATCAAATTTCGATACCAATGGAGCAAAACTTGTCAGTGCGCCAAGAAGCGTGCAGCATTTTTTCTGTTTATATATACACACAAACAATTAGTGAACTTTGTGCTGCTTGTTAGCTAGCCAGTGCAGCTAACCTGTATCTGCTCATCTGTGAGTCTGTTCACCTCATTGTCAATTGGGATGGAAACCTCAGCACATCCTCACCTCACCAGATATACACCAATCAACCATAACATTATGAGCACTGACAGGTGAAGTGAATAACGTGGGTAGGATATTAAGCAGCATGTGACCATTTTGTCCTCAAGTTGATGTGTTAGGAGCAGGAAAAATGGTCTGCAGTGGTCTGTCTATCAAAAGTGGTCCAAGAAAGGAAAAGCGGTGAACCTGAGGCAGGGTCCTTGGGAGCCAAGGCTCACTGAACTTTCAGAACGTTCAGGAACTGTTATTAAAGTCAAGGTATTAGTATCAAAAATATTTTGAACAATACCCAACTGTAACCCAGAGAATCAGTGCCAACAGTCCAAATGCAGTGCAAAATGCATGACCACAAAGACTATGACTCTCTTTACACCTTGCATTAAAACGTGTCTCGTATCCAGGTTGTATCTAGATATGATTTTAACCTGATTACGTATATACTTGGTATTGATATATCCACTGTGTCCACATTGATACATTAAAACAGTCCAGAGTTGGGACCAGGAAGCAGAGCTGCTGTCTTACACACTTCTCTGCGCTTTCTTTAGAACAGTCACCCACCCAAAACCCCATAGAGACTGTGTCTGTCCCCCGACCACCTAAATTATTTAAAGAAATAGGAGAGGAGTTCAACATAAAGATCTAATAAAAATGAAAACTAACTCCTCATTAGCACAAAATAAGAGTATGAAATGTGGACTGTTAAATATCAGGTCTCTGTCCTCTAAAGCTGTTTTAGTGAATTAATTAATATCAGACTATGATATTGATTTACTTTGTCTTACTGAGACCTGGTTGTCCCAGGAGGAGTATGTTAGCCTAAATGAATCCACCCCCCCAGTCATATTAATACTCACATTCCTCGAGGCACAGGCCGAGGAGGTGGAGTAGCAGCCATATATGATTCGAGCGTTTTAATGGACCCTAAACCTAAACTAAATTATAATTCATTTGAAAGCCTTGTTCTTAGTCTTTCTCACCCATCCTGGAAAACACTGCAGCCAGTTCTGTTTGTTATAGTGTACCGCGCTCCTGGACCGTACTCTGATTTTATATCTGAATTCTCAGAGTTTCTATCAAGTTTAGTCCTTAAATCAGATAAAGTAATTATTGTAGGTGATTTTAATATTCATGTGGATGCTGACAATGACAGCCTTAGTAATGCATTTATATCATTAATAGACTCAATTGGGTTCTGTCAGAGTGTAAATAAACCAACTCATTGTTTTAATCACTCTTGACCTCGATCTATCATATGGCATTGATATTGAACATTTAATAGTCTTCCCACATAATCCTTTCCTATCTGACCATTATTTAATAACTTTTGAACTCAAACTGTTAGATTATAAGCCATTAGGCAAAACTTCCTACAGCAGATGTCTATCTGACAGTGCTGTAGCTAAATTTAAGGAGGAGATTCCTTCAGTGTTTAATTCAAGGCCATGTCTGAATTTAACAGAGTCCTTTAATAACTTTAGTCCCTCCAAAATTGATAATCTTATAGTCTATCTAATAGTGCTGCAGGCTCACTACGAAGAACATTAGACTCTATCGCTCCTATAAAAAGGAAATTATTAAAACATAGGAAACTAGCACCGTGGTGCAACCACCAAACCCGCCAATTAAAGCAAAAAGCTAGGAAATCTGAAATAAAATGTCTCTCTTCCAAATTATCAGAATATCGCTCAAATTGGCAAGATAATCTTAAAACTTATAGAAAGGTCCTCCGTAACGCCAGAGGAGCCTATTATTTAGCACGAATAGAAGAAAATAAGAATAACCCTAGGTTCCTCTTCAGCACTGTAGCCAGGCTGACAGAGAGTCACAACTCTATTGAGCCACATATCCCCATAAACTTGAAAAAAGCAATGACTTCATGAGCTTCTTCTATAATAAAATTATTACTATTAGAGAGAAAATTAATCACCGACTGCCATCAACAGTTATCAGTGGCTCTCCAAGTTCAGGAAGTTAAACTAATGTAAACTTAGATATATATGTAGACTGTTTTTCTGCTATCGATCTTCATCAGTTAACTTAAATAATTACTATATCGAAGCCATCAACCTGTCTGTTGGACCCGATCCCAACTAGGCTGCTTAAAGAAGTCGTACCCTTAATTGGCACTTCTTTGCTGGATATGATTAATCTTTCTTTATTATCAGGATATGTACCACAGTCCTTTAAAGTAGCTGTAATTAAACCCCTTCTTAAAAAGACCACTCTTGACCCAGGGATTTTAGCCAACTATAGACCGATTTCTAACCTCCCCTTCCTCTCTAAGATTCTGGAGAAAGTAGTCGCCAAAGAGTTGTGTGACTTCTACATAACAATAGTTTATTTGAGGATTTTCAGTCAGGTTTTAGAGTTCATCACAGCACAGAGACAGCTCTGGTTAAAGTTAATAATGACCTTTTGATTGCTTCAGACAATGGACTTGTCTCTATACTTGTATTATTAGATCTTAGTGCTGCATTTGACACCATTGACCATAATATTCTTTTACAGAGACTTGAGCATCAAATTGGCATTAAAGGAACCGCACTAAGCTGGTTTAAGTCATATTTATCCGATCGTTTGCAGGTTGTACATGTTAACGATGAATCTTCAATGAATACTATAGTTAGTCATGGAGTTCCACAAGGTTCTGTACTTGGACCAATACTATTTACTTTATATATGCTCCCTTTAGGCAACATTATTAGGAATCACTCCATTAACTTTCACTGTTATGCAGATGATACGCAGTTATATCTATCAATCAAGCCCAATGAAATTAATCAATTATCTAAATTACAAACATGTCTTAAGGACATAAAATCCTGGATGAGCTGCAATTTTCTGATGTTAAACTCAGAAAAAAACGAAATTCTTGTACTTGGCCCCATAAATCTTAGAGATATAGTTACTCTAGATGGCATTACCTTGGCCTCTAGCATCACTGTCAGGAATCTTGGAGTTATCTTTGATCAGGATTTGTCATTTAATTCCCACATGAAGCAGACCTCTAGGACAGCCTTCTTTCATTTACGTAATATTACAAAAATTAGACACATACTATCACAGACAGATGCAGAAAAACTCATCCGTGCATTTGTTACTTCTAGGCTGGATTACTGCAACTCTTTATTATCAGGTTTCCCCAATAAGTCCATTAAAACGCTCCAATTAATTCAAAACGATGTAGCACAAGTACTGACAGGAACTAGAAAAAGAGATAAAATCTCTCCTGTACTAGCTTCTCTGCACTGGCTCCCTGTAAAATGTAGAATAGAATTTAAAATTCTCCTCCGCACCTATAAAGCTCTTCATGGTCAGGCCCCTTCATATCTTAAAGAGCTCATAGTACCCTATTACTCCTCTAGAACACTACGTTCTCTGAATGCTGGGCTACTTATGGTTCCTATAGACTCTAAAAGTAGAACAGGAGCCAGAGTCTTTAGTTACAAAGCTCCTCTCCTGTGGAACCAGCTTCCAGTTGTGGTTCGGGAGGCAGACACCCTCACCACATTCAAGAGTAGGCTTAAGACATTCCTCTTTGATAAAGCTTATAGTTAGCGCTGGATCAGGTGAGTCCTGAACCATCCCTTAGTTATGCTGCTATAGGCCTAGACTATCGGGGGATTTCCCATGGTGCACTGAGCTCCTCTCTTCCTCTCTCTTTCTGCACTCATTCATGTTCCATTAATGCATGTTACTAACTTCACTTCTTTCCCGGAGTTCTTGTGCTTTCTCGTCTTGCAGGTTCTTATCGATCCTGGTGGAGCCTCCTGCCATGGTCCTGCTAGATTGCCATTGCCAATACTGTTGTTGCTGTGCACCTGTCTGTCTGTCTGTCTGTCTGTCTCTCTGTCTGTCTGTCTCTCTCTCTGTCTCTGTCTGTCTGTCTGTCTGTGTCTCTCTCTCTCTCTCTCTCTCTCTCACCTCAACTGGTCGAGACAGACGCACCTAGAGCCGAGAGGATCTGTCCTAGGTTTCTGACTTTTAACAGGCAGTTTTTCCTTGCCCTTGTCGCCAAGTGCTTGCTCATGGTGGTACTGTTGGGTCTCTGTAAATAATGTTATAAAGAATTCGGTCTAGACCTGCTCTATTTTAAAAGTGTCCTGAGATAACTTCTGTTATGAATTGGCGCTATCCATTACACATTTTATACAAATAAAATTGAATTGAATTGAATTGAATTGAATTGAATTGAGATCCGATTGAGATCCAATTGCTTTGTAGTTCACATTCATTTCAGTTTTTCTTAAAATGAACGAAATTCTGAGTTGTGCTCTATAGCTAAAAACTGTAGAATCACTTTATGAACCATCTCTGAACTGCAAAAGAAAACACCACATAAATCAGAAAAATACATATGTTGACTATGTGACACAACTTTTGTTGTTCATGTCAAGACAAAAGACAAAACGTAACTTAATAGTTGGTGCTCTAGAGGTAAAGCCTGCCCATTCTTTATCTGTGGAACAGCTCACTGGACTTATTAAAACCACAGACAATTCAATACCTGTATGTGGCGGCTGTGGCTCAGGAGATACAGTGGGTTGTCCACTAATCAGAAGGTTGGTAGGTTCGATCCCCGGCTCCTCCTGCTGTCCTCAAGTAAGATACTGAATCCCAAATTGCCCCCGATGCTGTGCCATTGGGGTATGAAAGTGTGTGAATTAATGTGGCTCTCTTTCTGATGAGCAATTTGTTCCTTGCATGGTAGCCTCTGCCATCAGTGTATGAATATGAGTGAATGGGTGAATGTGACATGTAGTGTAAAATGCTTTAAGTTCTTTGAAGACCAGAAAGGCACTATCGTGCAGTCCATTTATCGTTGCAGATGTAGTAAAATTAGAGATTTAAGAGATAGAGATAGATACATAGGTACATACATAGAGGTTGTTTCACACAGCAACTTCGAAACAGTAACACCAGGAAGGGGACTCAAAAGGAGTACGGTCTAGACCTACCTGTGGAACATATACTTCATATCATATGTGTTAATATATACCATGTTGATATTATATATCATATTTATACAATTTATTATTATTATATTAATAATAATTATATTTTTAAAGCTGCAAGCAGCGATGAACGGGATCTCGCAACCGGCGCGCGTCGGGGCGTGCTGTGGCAGCGTCACGTGCCGTCGGGGTGTGCTCGGGCCACGTCACGTGCCGTCGTAACAAGCGCGGACCACAACATGAAAATGTCACGTAAATCAGCTCAAAATTGCCACGCAGCACTTACTTCCTGTTGCCACTAGGTGGTGCTATCACTATGTGTTCAGGGTGGGACTCTTATCAGACAAGTGAAGTTTGGAGCCAATTGGACAATGTACACTCAAGTTAAAGCAAATTCGTGTTTCGTGGCGATACATCAAAATTTATCGCCACGCCACAGACACGCCCCCTCACCACAGTCAACACATATCAACAACAATGTGTTTTGCATTTTATGAGTAAATTTCAGCTGGATCTAGGAGTAGAACATGAAAGCATAAAACGTGATACTTCCTGTAGTTCTTCATTTTAAAGAGCGCCACCTAGTGGTGATGGCCTGAAATTGTGCACAATGGCTAAGGAAGACATGGGGAACTATGGACCCAAGGTTGGTGTCAATCGGACATACCAATGTGGAAAAATACTCCACTTCCTCTTTTGAACAAAAATCCACAGGAAGTGCTAATTTTATAACATGCTTATTTTTAGAAATATCAAAATTCTTTCAATTAGTTTATTATTAGGACAGTCTTCAGATTCACCGGAGACACGCGTGGATACAGGTTTTTTGACGAATGTGTGACAAACTATACAAAAGTTATTAGCCTAAACGCACCTTAAAATATAAAACGTGATACTTCCTGTTGCCACTAGGTGGCGCTCTGAGTATTACTGAATATTATCGCATAGACGTGTTCAGGGCGGGACTCTTATCAAACATGTGAAGTTTCGTTGCAGTCGGATCATGTACGCAGAAGTTATGACGAATCCCTCTTTCATGGTGAAGGTTTGAAATTGGATGCCACGGGACGCCACGCCACGGGCACAATGTTGGACGAAAAAAACTGACTGCACTGACCAATTTTGAAGTAGATCCAATAAAACCTGTAGGAGGAGTTAGTTAAAATAGAAGCCCTAAAATGACATCACAGTGTGACATTCGTTCAAAATGGCCAGCTTTGACGGCACGCCACGGACACGCCCTTCAACGTACAGTCATAAATAGCACAACTTGTAATCAGCAACATTATTCAAGAGTACTGTCAAGTTTTGAAGCAGATCTGATAAATTCCATAGGAGTTTGTTTATTCAAATACAAGACCACGGACTTCAAAATGGCCAACTTTGACGGCACGCCATGGACACGCCCTTCAATGTACAGTTCAAAAATGAACATCGTTCATTCAGCACAGTTTTGACTGTACTGACCAATTTTGAAGCAGATCCCAGAAATTCCCTAGGACAAGTTCGTTCAAATAGAAACCCTGAAATGCAAAAATGTCATCACAGTGTGACATTCGTTCAAAATGGCCAACTTTGATGGCACGCCATGGACACGCCCTTCAATGTACAGTTCAAAAATGAACAGTGTTCATTCAGCACAGTTTTGACTACTGACCAATTTTGAAGCAGATCCGATAAATTCCCTAGGAGGAGTTCGTTCAAATACAAGCCCGAAAAGTCAAAATGACCACAAAATGATGAATATTAAAAATTGAAATATCAGACTTCCTGTGGGTTTCTGGGCATGGGTCCAAGAGGCTTTTCTGCTTCTTTTATCATGATACACATGCGTAGCAATTTTCGTACATGTGGGCCTTATGTGTCTTGGGGGCTGATTGTGGGGGGCGTGGCTTAGACGTTTGGCGGTGCCCGTGCACGGGGACAATGTCATATCAATATTTTAGCTACGTTTGAATTTTGTGCAAATTTTCATTCCATTTTGAGGATGTTGCGGGGGCCAAATATGCGGTTGAACTTCCAAAGGTATAATAATAATAATTCCTAGAGGAACAATAGGGTCTTGCACTTTCAGTGCTCGATCCCTAATTATTATTATTATATTGTATTATATTATATATATATATATATATTATATTATATATCCACAATATTACAATATATAATATATTATTTATTTTATGTATATCTTTCTTGTATAGTCAAGTATCTATTATTTTATTATTATATCTCGTATATATGTGTACATATTATATATACATATTATTATTATTATTATATACTGTTATTAACAATAACACTACCCTTTATATCATCAGTACTATTACCACCATCTTGCAACTACAACTTCTTTGCACCTTATCTATCTTTTTTATCTTTTATACCTCAGTATTTTATTCTGTTGTTGTATTTTATTGTATTTAAATGTACCTAGCTGCTATGATGACCCAATTTCCCTTCGGGGATTAATAAAGTCTATCTATCTATCTATCTATCTCATCCATCCATCCATCCATCCATCCATCCATCCTATTCGAAAAGTTTCATGAGATAACTTTTGTTATGAATTGGCAAATAAATACAATAAAACTGAATTGAATTGAATTAAATTGAATTCAAATAAAAGTTGTCCAATGGCAGGCTTTTACCTATATTCACAGCCTACTTCCTGTGAGTCAGACTGCTCTTTAGGTGACCACACTGACAGTTACAGGTCCTCATGTGATAACTACACACTGTTTGTGTCCTTCAGCTCAGGTTTTCAGAGCGATGAAGTCCCAGAGAAAGAGGGGACTGTGGCAGCAGAAGGGACGACAGTAGAACCAGACCGTCTTCGTTGGCCTCACTCTGTACAGTGGCTGGACCTCGGTCAGTCGCTGGTGTTTGATGATCTGTTTGGACAGTACCGCAACCTGCTGTGGACTCTTTGCAGCAAAGCCCTGGGACTGCAGCTGCATGTGCCACAAGCAGGAAACACTACAGGAAGCATCAACCTCCAAGACATTCACAGGAGGTTCCAAATCCTACACAGGATGAGTCAAGCGTCAAAGATGGGTAAGGACAACCAGCCATTACATATTTATTTGTTTATCTGTTTTTCATTAACTGATTGTTGAATTACTCACCCAGTCTCTGCTTCTCAATCCTTGCTAGGCACTTATTCTCGGAGGCTTCTGATTGTACCTTGTTTGTCGCAAATGTAATTGTAATATAATGAAGTAAGATTTTTTGTACCGAAGCTTAACTTAAGACCAATGTAGTATTAAGTAATAGGGATGGACCATATACAAAATTATCATCATGGCTGAAGGCTCAGGTTGCTCAGGCTATAAGAAAGGAAATAAGATGCTTATCTGTGATGCAATAAAAATAATTGTTTACACAATGTAAGGTAAAGTATGGTTTAGTGGCATTTTAAGTATATTTTGGTGTTTTCTGCAATAATAAAGAAACTTTATTCTGTTGACCAGGATAATTGTGAAATAACATTTTCCCTAGATAGTTATTATAAAAACGTCACCATTTTGCATGTTGTTATCCAAGAAAATATTAAGGGTATTGGTAGAGTTTGTATTCATTTCTTGTTATGGCAAGTTTGTGAATTGTTGGAGTTGCTGCTTAAAATCAATAGTTTTTCAGAGCGACAAGTAACTACATGACATCTCTGGGTTTTGTTGTAGATCTGCTTCCAAAGGAGTGGAGAACCATGCTGGAGGACTTCAGTCTGTATCTTTTAGCCATTACAGCACATGCTCAGTGGGACTATGGTTAGTACACATATACACACTGACACACAAACAAACCACTCTTTGTGAAAATGTTCTTGTTGTGCAAATGCAAGACACAGAGACAGTAAACTTAATAGGCAAATTCTCTAGTATTTTTTAATCTCTTGGTTGAGATGGGAATGTTTTGGTTATGAGGATGGCAGATCCGTCCAAAGCTGAGTAGAGCCAGGTGGAAACCTAATTGGGGCTTGGAGGGGTCCAGTGAAGGGGGAACCAATCGTAAGAATGGTGTCCCGAGCAAAACCCAAAAGGAAACGACAGATGAGACAGGAGGGAGTTATGTCAGAGGCAGGACTCAGGCCCGGGAAGTGCAGGCCGAAGAAAATAGGAATGAGCAATCTACCAGATACATATGGAGGACTAAAAGTGCCACAATTAAATAAATAAATACACCATTAAATAATTACTTAAATGTGTCATTAATTAATTAAAATTGGAATTAAATACATAAATGTGCTATTAAATGTGTCATTCATTCATTCAAATACCGATTCATTTTATGTAAAATGGAATGGCGCCGGCCACAAGGCAGCCTGTCATGGCAGCTCCTTTCATTGTTGTAGTTTTAGTGTGTTTTCAGTGTGTTTTTGCTATTTTGAACTCTTTTCTTACTTTCTTACTCTCTTACTACTTTGCTCATGTCGCCTAAATACTTTTTTGGCGTTTTTGAGCACTTTTTATTTTTTGTTTACGCTGGTCTCCATGGCGACGGGGAGTCGCATTGTTTTCACCCGCGACCAGATGATCGCCCTGAGGCCCCCTAGCATCCTGACCGGAGAGAGACCCTCCATACCGGAGGAGCTGAGGAGGAGACGGTGAGGCTGCAGAGCGGGGGTTAAACGGAGGATGAAGAAGATGCTTTAAACTCTACATTCCTGCAATCATACCTGCAGATACCGGACTCCATCGTCACCATTCCTGGCTTCCAGACGGTTCGAGCCGACAGGGACACCACCGCGACCGGCATGAAGAAAGGAGGGGGACTGTCCGTGCTCATAAACAACAGGTGGTGTAACGCCGGGCACGTCTGTGTGAAAGAGCGTCTGCAGTCCGGACATCGAGCTTATCGCCGTCGGACTTCGTCCGTGTTGTCTGCCACGGGAACTTTCCAGTGTTGTCGCCATCACTGTCTATATTCCTCACAGTGGTCTTCATCATCACCATCACTGTTTACATTTATGATGTCCTATTTATTCTCCTGTACAGCACTTTGGTCAACTTTGGTTGTTTTTAAAGTGCTTAACAAATAAAGTTGGATTGGATTGGATTGGAAAATACATATATAATTATTTTACTATTTATTAAATTATTTCATGGTCCTGCGTTGTAGTGCTTCATGAATTACTTTAATCTGTCAAACTCATGAATTACTTTAATCTGTCAAACTCACCCATCAAGTTGGTAGGCGGAACGCCTGATTGGTTACCCTGCGCATCAAGCCAAGGCAAATCAATTCCAGATAATGGATTGATGCAGAGCTAGTGAACACATTCCAATACACTGGCTGGTGCTATTGGACTACTACTTCTAAATCTGCAGTCACTCTATGGTAAATGGTAAATGGACCTGTACTTGTATAGCGCCTTTCTAGTCTTCCGACCACTCAAAGCGCTTTTACACTACGTGCCCCATTCACCCTTTCACACACATTCACACAGCGATGCACGGCATCGGGAGCAATTTGGGGTTCAGTATCTTGCTCAAGGACACTTCGACATGTGGCACCAGGAGCTGGGGATCGAACCCAAAACCTTGTGATTAAGGAACGACCCGCTCTGCCTCTGAGCCACAGCCACCCCTATGGTTAATATCTTGGTCAGAATGTGCGGAAATAACTCCAAGAACTTCACCAAGTTCCTCTGCTTTACTCGCTACATGCTCTGGGTCAGGAGGTCCTGCTTCCACATCCTCTGCTAAGTCTAAAAAATAAAATGAAGTGTTTAACTTTAGAAAAGAATTGAGCTCTAACCTCTCTCCCTTCTTGGGCAGTGAATGAATGAGTCAGGATACTGGTTGAGTGATCATATTGGGATCTGAGACTGCTTATTTTCTGTGACCTTGTTCAGACTTGATGAAAACTTTGTGTTTTGTCTCATAGTGGCGTTTCACACTGGCACTTTTAATCAGTGCCGCGGTCTCTGAACATGAGACGCACTGGTTATGTGCTCCCAGTGGGAAGAATGAATATGAATGAATCTGTCCATTCTGGGTTAAAAGCTCTACTTTCTATCCACTTTTCTCTTCTTAGAGAGTGCCATTATTTTTCTGTTGTCTCGCGCTCACTCATCTCTCCGTTTCCTCTCCATGTATCTCTAACTTCTCTTTCTGTCTGTCACTCGCCTCTCATCGCTCTCATCTCTGTATTCAGTCGCGCTGTTTAAACAGATTTGATTGGCTGAACAGCATCACGTGGGATGGCTTAACTCGCATGCGATTGGGCTGTAAGCTTCCTGATCTTCTAAACAAATACCGTAAAGACTAGAAAAGCTGTGCTGGTTAAAATAGAAGCACCCCTTCAAAATTTAGAATCCCTCAATAATTAATTGATTATAGGTCTGGGTCAGGCTAGATTCGCGTTAGCCCCACCCACTGACTTTGATGGGTGAGTTTGACAGATTAAAGTAATGAAATGAAATAATTTAATAAATAGTGAAATAATTATATATGTATTTTACATAACATGAATCGGTATTTGAATGAATTAATGACACATTTAATAACACATTTATGTATTTAATTTCAATTTTAATTAATTAATGACACATTTAAGTAATTATTTAATGGTGTATTTATTTATTTAATTGTGGCGCTTTTAGTCCTCCATAGAGACAAGACATGAAACATTTAAAGCTGGATGCACAACTGACTGTGGTAACAGAGTTAACGATCTGGGGTGTTGAGGAGAAGACCAGGTATATGAAGCAGAGCAGGATGACGATGATAGCTGGCAGCTGGTGACCTGACTCCTGCACACCTGACTCCACTCCTGTATTCAAAACCAACAGCCGTGGAGGGCTTGCCATGGACTGGCTTTACATATTTTAATGTCAGCCTATTCTAGGCTAAGTGTGTGTTTTGTCTTTTTGTTTTTGATGTTATGTTGGATAATTGGTTATCAGGGAATACGCAGAATTAAATCACAAGCGGCAGATCATCATTTTCATTAAAGGTGTTATATAAATAAACCTAAACATATGGTTGTATGGATAAACTAACTGTCTGTTTTATTTTGTCATGCTGTCTCTCACACGCCTGTCTGACTTCCTCTCCCTGTGCCTGTCTGTCTTCAGTGCTTTGCAGAAGTTTAGGTACAGCTCTGAAAGATAAGTGTCTAAGAGACGTAGATCAAGGCAGCAAATCTGTAATGCCGTCATCTGAGCAAAATGGAGGTGTGATGATGTCAGTGACCATGGAGCACTTCCTGCTGCTGTCCCCTCCTCTCCTGTCATCTATGCACTGCCATCACTCAAAGAGTGGGGCCTCAGGTAAAATAAGTTTTGTATATGTCCCTCTCCACACACACACACACACACACACACACACACACACACACACACACACACACACACTTTTCAAACTTGTTTTGTAATTTCATGATTCCAAACATACCCAGTGGCTAGGTGAGGTGGTGCAGTGCGATTTTAGTACCCATTTACTATGAACTTGTACTACCAGGTCAGGCTGCAAAAAGTAACCGAGTAAACAGTTGAGTAGAGTAAATGTTGTGCTTTTGTGTCTTTCGCATCCTGGATGGATAGTAAGCGCAGAGAAGTTCTGAGATATACAGGGGTGCCTGCACATGTATGGCTTTAAAAACAAATAAAATAACCTTGTATTTGATGCAAGTACTGGTGTAATGCTGCTTTCCTGGTACCATTTAGACTGGTACCATTCTGCACCAGCTGCAAGCGAGGCAAAGAGGACTGGCCAACACCCAGTGACTTGAAGTTATCAAGCCTAGAGGAGATTTGTGTCGTGGCAACAGTTTTCAAACCATTGAGAGAGAGGAAGTTGGTTGTTATCCCCTGGGTTGAAAGAAACAGAAATTTGCATATCATCAGCATATTAGTTAAAGGAAAATATAGCTGAAAGGGAGCATATACAGAGCAATTAGAATGGGTGTAATTGTTTTCTACATTGTGTTCCACAGTATCTCCACTGTTCCTACACTTTACCTGTTATATGATGACCATAAGTGTGTTTTGGTGGTGTCCTCCCCAATGGGAATGTAAAAAGGTGTCTGTTGGTATGCTGGTTGCCGTCGATAAAGCTGTTCTGTTCTTTTCATCTTGTAGACATTATACATCATTTCAACGCACTGCTGTTTTTCTCTCTCTGTCTCTCTCCCCTAGGTTCTTGTAGTGTCTTCCCATCCAGACTCACTCTTCAGAGACAGACTGTTAGCTTGGCATTAACCACAGTACAACTGTCTACAGTCTGGGTCATGTCCAAGGCTTACCAGTTCCTCTCCTCATGGAGCCTCAACAAGTTCCTGCTTATTACACAGGGAGACATCAAAGTAGGTACTAGTATTCCTTTATATAAACCACTTTAGTTATAGTACAGGGCTGGAAACCAACTTTTTCACATCCTTCCCAAAACTGTTTGCAGTGTGTACTTTCTTTGTCTCTGCAGGTGCTGAGAGAGTCATTACAGATGATGGTGCATCAAACTAAATCTCTGATGATGAATTCATACAGTGACCATCATTCCACTCTTCATAACCACAACCAGCTTCTGCTGAGGCAGCAACTGGAAGCACTTGACAAGGCTGTATCTGAGCTGCAGGTTACCTGTCTAATTGATTCTACATTTCATAAAGAAATTGCTGATTCCTCTTTAGTTTTTTCTTGCTTAGCAGTAAGAGCTGTGCTTAGTTTTCATCAGCTGTGTTCTGACAGTTTACACATAGCTGATCAGAGGCAGAGATGATGACCCATTCCAAATGGAAAGCAGCAAAAACCAAAAAAATATGTTGACCTGTTGCAAGGTCAAAAATGAACGTTCATACATTCAGCAGCATCATATTTGACAGACTTCCCCAGTCAATTACTTACATTGAGACAATTGTTTTTCTTTAGACATGCAAATAGCCGTTATCAACTTAAAAATGTGCCATTTTTAGACATTACATTCATTTCAAACCTTCAGAATACAGATGGGGGAAAAAACTGGATGGTTTGGTGTATGTAAATGATGCTGAAGTGGAGACTGCTGATCTTGAGAAAAAGGCCTTTAAAGATATGGATTGTACATTTTTTTCTAAAAACATTTTTCAACAGTTTTAACACAGATCAGCCATAACATTATGAGCACTGACAGGTGAAGTGAATAACACTGATTATCTGGTTATCATGGCACCTTTCAGTAAGGGGGATATATTATGCAGCAAGTGAACAGGTTAATGTTAGAAGAAATCTACAGACTCAAACAGACAAAGCGTAGTAAAATAAAAACCTAAATTACGTTGAATTACCGACGTTACCTATATGTCACTTTTATCTTTTAACTTTGTGGTTGTCTTTTCAACATAGACAAGCTTAGTACATAACATAGGAAAGGAGACAGTTGACCGAGGTTCCAGAGGGGGCGGGACTTAGGATGAGTCAGTTGTTTTCAGCCCCATGTCCTTGCACATAGGCTGCTGTCAGATTTTAACTTTGATTCATATTATTTGTTAAAGGATTCAGGGTTATTTTATTGACATTTACAACACATTTTTGGATAATGAAATTCAGATCATAGTTCCCTTTATGCTGAAGTTGTCTTAGAACAAAGTGACCCACTTCTCTTGCTCCTAACCATTATTAAAGGTGAGCCTGTGACTGTAGTCCAGCAGTACAAATACTTGAAACAATTCTAGATGATCAACTTACCACTGACAACACTGCTTTTATTTTTAAAGGCTTTTAAAACTGTTCTATACTTTTATTGAGTCCATTTTAACATTTGCCACTTGTATCAAGTCAAAGCCACACAAAAAGCTCAAGCCATCTTATTGGACTCCCAGCACCCTTTATATAGTGAGCTCAGCTTGTCCCCCATCAAGGTGGAGGTTTTATTTTGCCTGATGTAGCTCTGGTACCGAAATGCCTAAATAAATGTTGTATTGAAGTTAGTGTGTGTAAATGTATCTTTCAAACCTTTTTTTTTATGCTACTTGCAAAGAAACATTCATAGCTAGCTATTTAATAATCAGTTAATAACATACATACATCAGTAGTAGCCTAACTTTACACATGATCCATAATGATAAAGATACAGAAAACTACAAATACATGGCAAAAATGACATCAAGGCTATCTATTGATCCCACTGATTCTTATGTCACTGCTTTGTGTCATTATCTATCAGACCTTCTCTTCTCTGATGCTGCAGACCTTCTCCAGTGACTGCAAGAGGATGTCAGGGGAGATCTTTGAACAGACCATGCCTTCTGCTGTACACTGGAGACCCAGCCTCAGGACAGGTACTGAAGTCTGACTGTTTTTAATGGGCAGTCTGTGACAGTAGTTTTTAACCTGGGGTCCTTGAGGGGATTCAAGGGGGCCTCTTTTTCACTGTTATTTTTGTTAATTGAAGTTCCCTAATAAGGGAATGTATACGAATGACTATAATAATAATAACTACTCTAAGCTCAAGCTGTAACTAAACAATACAGAGACCCTGTCTTCTTTGGTTTGAAACAAATTCTTTCTGCGTTTTTTGTGAGTTTCGCAGCCACTGTAGTTTCTCCTACGCACATGGAAGGTGAGCGTTATTCAGTTGGTTACAATCTGCAACTATAGCGCTGGATGCCGCTAAAAACTACACACTGGTCCTTAAACGTGAATACTTCAATAGGAATGCTCACCCAACCTTTGGTACATTTTACTGTGCATTGATAATTATGTTTCTCTGTTGGTGCACAGGTATTTCCAGCTCTCCCAGTGAGTATGCATCTCTGGCAGCTCAGACTGTGATTGGTCAGGTTTTAGAGGGTGTGGCACCATTGTCTGATGAGGCCCGTGTCCAAGCACTGAGCATAACAATGACAGCTTTCATGGAGGCATGGATGGAACACATCCTGAAACAGAAGATCAAATTCAGGTATGTTTTTGGTCATAGCATCATACATTAATTTCTACTACAGTGTTACCCACCAAATCCATGGTGCAGTTTAAAACAAAGATTAAGGAGTGTACTGAACGGGATGGCCCTGTACCCTACTGGTTACTGTGCTTACCACAAAACTGCAATATGCAGGGTTCGATTCCCAACTGGTGGAGATTCTTTGTTTTATGTCATACCCTTCTATCTGCCCATGTTTCCGGTCTATCTCTATACTGAATCTTGAATAAAGGCAAAACACCGAAAGAAATAATAAAAGATAAGAAAATAAATGTAATTGTTGTAAATGTAAGTGCTTTTTAATGCCTGTGTGTGTGTGTGTGTGTGTGTGTGCGTGTGTGTGTGTGTGTGTGTGTGTGTGTGTGTGTGTGTGTGTGTGTGTGTGTGTGTGTGTGTGTGTGTGTTTGTTTTCAGTTAACGCTCTGAGCAGTGTTATTCTGTTGTTCCTCCTCAGTGTGCAGGGAGCTCTCCAGCTGAAGCAGGACTTTGATTCTATCAGAGAACTGATCCAGTCAGACAAATACAGCCTGTCAGCTGAACTCCAACATGGACTGCTCAGCCTCCGGTACCATAATCTGTTACATCCTGCCTTTGAACTATTCTTTATAAACTTCACCTCACTGTAATGTAGCTTCAGTTTATTAACACCATACCAGGCTCCATATTGATTATATAGGTACTGTTCTGTAATGGATCTATGAAAGTGACTGACCAACATGTTTTATTGTAAGAAAGAAATCAAGCTTCACAGCTGTACTATTTACAACACATTCTTGAGATAGTTGGGAAAGGGTATTCAAGCCTTTACACCTGATCATCTCTTTGGGCCCTCTTTTGGGTCAGTTAATAAGCCATCCTCAAATATAAAATCGCTAGAAAATACACTGTTCAGCCATAACATTTTGACCACCTGCCTAATATTGTGTAGGTCCCCCTTTTGCCTCCAAAACGGCCTCCATTAATCAGACTTGTTTGTTCCAGCACATCCCACAGATGCTTGATTGGATTGAGATCTGAGGAACAAGTCTACACCTTGAACTCATTGTTGTGTTCCTCAAACCATTCCTGAACCATTTTTGCTTTGTGGCATGGCACATTATCCTTCTAAAATAGACCACTGCCATCAGGTAATACAGTTTCCATGAAAGAGTGACACGTACCATCTACCTAAGCATGGTTGCCAACCATGTACAAAGTAACGTCCACATGAATGGCAGGACCCAAGGTTTCCCAGCAGAACATCACCCAAAGCATCACACTGCCTCTGGCCACAAGATGTAAAAAAAAAAAAGAAAAAAAGCTGATTGATCAGACCAGACCACCTTCTTCCACTGCTCCGTGGTCCAGTTCTGATGCTCACGTGCCCATTGTAGGCGCTTTCAGCAGTGGAAATATGGTGTGCAAAATATTTTAAACAGTGTATAACTAACTGTACATGTGCAATTATTACAAGGTAAAGTTTGTGCATAGCAGGTAAAGGTTAAACAGTCTTAATCAGCAGAGGTGGGAGGTACTGGGTCCTGTGGAGTCCGATGGCTGATGGTACAAATGAGCCTCTGAAGTTAATAATGTTATGGCTGATCGGTGTATATTAAAAATATAACCTGGGGATCGGGACTCCCATTAGGGGTCGTGTGGCCTTGTGTGGATTTTAAATGGTAAATGGACTGTACTTGTATAGCACCTTTCTAGTCTTCCAACCACTCAAATTGCTTTTACACTACATTCCACATTCACCCATTCACACAGTGAAGCAAGGGCTATTTGAAACAGAAACTCATTCATCTACATAGCTTTGGGAGCAATTCGGGGTTCAGTATATTGCTCAAGGACATTTTGACATGCAGCAGGAGGAGCAGGGGACCAAACCACCAACCTTCATATGGTGGATGACCCACTCTACCTCCTGAGTGACAGCCTCCCGTTTTAAGGCGTGTAAGAAAACTTAAGAAAAAATATGAACAGCAGGCCTGTATGTCAGCATTTGGTTCACTTCTGTGAAGAAAAGTAATTAATCTAATATGACAGTAGTCAATATATATATATATATATATATATATAATCAACAGTAGAAATAAAACATCACCAAAGCAGACAACACAGATATACAAACAACATAAACTAAAGACACACATATTACAACAAAAGAAAAACCGCTGATGATGATGAAATGTAGCAAGGTACAACACAAACACAACACAAAATACCATCAAAAATGTCTTTGTTTCAGTAGTGAGAGTAAATATAATTTGTGACTTCAACCCTGGCTAACATGTAGAGATCCTATACCTGTGATTATTTTCCATTCCACTTTAGCACATTGGCTAATCCTTCTGTATGTCTGTGTGACTGCAGGGTTTTTCAGCAGGTGGACTCAGCAGTGGTGTGTCTGCTCCAGCAGCCGCAAGCCAAAACATACCTACAGTCCAGAGCCTGGGAGCCTTTCACACGCTGCTGTCAGTACCACACCAGTCACCCATGAACCACAACATAAAAATAAATAAAAATACAAAACAAAAACAAATATTTTATGCATTTCATTAGTTACTGATGTAGTCTTTATTTAAACTAGTTCTTGTTTGTCAGTTCTCCTCTGATGTCTCTGAAGCAGGACAAGGGAAGGAGTGCTACAGTTTTCCTTCTGCTAATAATCATTATTTATTTAAGTAACGTATAGCCACAAAGTATCTGTATTTTTTCCAACCCACACTCACTTATACATTAAAAGAGAAACGGCAAAGTTGGAAAATGTTCTGGCAGTTTTTTTGCAATGGTGGATAATTTCCTCTGATTCAAGTGTATGGCATTAAACAGTATGAGCGGTATATTTCAAGATAGATCCTAACATTATTCACAACTTAAAATAAAGAATAAAAAAAGGCATTTTGATGAAAGACAACTTTAATGGCTCAGTAATAGAGTGCTGCAGGAGTCCTAAAACCCAGACCTGAGTTAGCATTTTAACCCATTTTACCTGCCAGTTCCCAAGATTTACACCTTTTGTGCTACAACATAAAATACATCAGTAAATATCTCACCTTTGAATGTTGAAGCTTTTATGTGTCTTTAAAAAGGCGGTTGCTAACAAGTGGCTAAATGAGACTGCAGAGGTTGAGACTTATCTTCTCCCCAGTCCGCCTTTACAGGCTTGTTGTTTTCTCGTTGAGATGTGTAGAGAGAACACAAGTTTACCTGATTCCTCTTCCCGCAAATTCACTCCTGGTGTTTTTTTGTGATGATTCTGCGTTGGACTATAAAAATACATCATCCCTGCAGCACTCTACTTGTTGGTTTGAAAAAAAGGAGGCCAGTGGCAGTAACCAGTGTGTGTGACTCTTCAGGTCCGGCCAACATTAGCAGAGATAGCATTGATGCGGTGGTGGGGAGCAGTATAACCAACATGAGGTCTATGGAGGGTGAGGAGCTGACTCAGGCTGATCCCTCAGTTGTGACCACTCACGTACCTCCAGTGGACCCGTCCACCCCTGGAGAGTCCTACCTCGCTCCAAGGTACATTTTTATATCTTCCTACATGGAGGCAGTGTATAGTTTGGAATGGGTATTACTGTTATAGCTATTCCTTCCCTTACAGGACCTCAGTGGTTCTGTGTCATTAATGTGTTTTGGTGGACAAAAGTATTATTTCTGCTGCTGTGATGGAATTCAATAGTAAAAATTGTACTCTCTTTATTTTGTCCTCTCAGTCTCGCTCTGGGTGCTGCTCAGCAGGAGTGGTTGGACCTGAGGATCCACAGCAGCACTCGTCGTTGGAGGCTGCCAGGACTACAGTGTCTCTCCAAGTCTAAACCTTGAACGCAAAGACCCCAGGTTAAAGGAAATATACAGCAAAAACACAAGAACATTTATTCTTGTTGTTTAGACAGTGCACATTTTTGTACAAATAGTGCACAAATATTTGTTGGCCACTTGTCACCAAACATATTTTCAATAAAATGCATTATCTATTCATATATTTTATTTTATCATCATGGCTTTATAATAAAAAGAAATTCTGCACACACACATTTCTATAGTACTCACCAAGATACTTTAGTATTATTATTATTATTATTATTATTATTATTATTATTATATATTGACTGTAAACAATATCTAATCAAGCATGATTCAACAGTAAAACTCATCAGATCCATGTGTCTCTACACGTACCTGAGGAGTTGGCTTGTATGTAGCCTGCTACCTGTATGTCAACCAAGATTGGTTCATGGGCTTCTTGCCTTTATTAGGGTTGAAATGAGTGTCCGGCACAGATAATGTACTTTTTCTGAGTATCAAACAAGTTAAATGTTTAGACTTAAATGAGCAACTTGCAGTCAGTCCGGGTCACACATATTCTCGTATTCCAGACAAACAGCTCGCTAACATGTATGTTAAAAGAGAAATATTCAATGCTGCTCGGTTTACCAATACAAGATTATGTTATTAATCTTGATTCATATTTGATCAGCACTGCCTAGTTTGACAGTTTGATCTGAGTTTGGTGCGTTGAGCTGGATGGACTCACTGAGAATGACCTGCCAATGAACATGGTGCTGTATGGAAGAAGACTTGAAACTAGAGATTGAGACTATAAACTCATTAAGAAACTGTTTATTGAGCTAATAAATCAAGTGACAAGTTTGCGCATTTCTCCATAAGACTCAGTTCTATCACAGTTCTTTACTTTTATTTTTCGTAGCTTGTTAATACGTTTGTGCTACATAGGAGTCTCATTGTTGGTCTATTTGTTGGGAGTTTTCTTAAGACAGCAGCAAGATTAGGATCAGCCCCTTGAGAGCACTGCAGCAATCAGTCCAGAGAAACTGGTCTGGTCCACACAGCACATTAACTCCTCCATGAGCAGCTATTTTCATTCCTTGATGACCTTTGTGAAAGACTTGTGCCAGGTGAGGTGAATTCAGAATGTTTTGTAACTGTATGGAACGTGGCATTATAACTCTATAACTATAAACTTTTGAAAAAGTGAACCTGTATAGAGATTTGTGACTGTAAGAGTATAAAACTGTAATTTAGAGAAGAATTGTTTCAGAGTACAATGGAGGCTGACGGTTCACCTGCAGAGGGCAGTAGAGCTCTATGACACTGGTGCTGAAAGATAAGATGAATCTTGATGCTGGGAAACTGAACGGTTTCATGAAAAGAAATGGTCTCACTTAAGACAATACACAGATAAGTTAGAAACATTACAGGCATCATGGGGATGATGGGAACATTATCAGATGTTCGTGTTGGATGTAATGAATGCTGGGTGTCTGCACATATCTGCGAGATTGTCAGGGATGGATCAGGCAGGCAAACAACTCTTTTCTAGGTGTATTGGCCAAAGGCAGAAGACGGGGTTATCTGGCACTGTTGTTGTTCTTTATCTTTAGCTATCCTATATAAGTAAGTATAATGAATATCAATACTTTTGTATTGCATTAGTGGAATGACTTTATTTTAATTCTGTCCAACTACTCTATGTAAAAATGGCAAAAATGAAGCCTGCTGAAGTGAAGCAATGAGCTGAATCAGAAATTCCTTTCAGAGGACATTCAGCCTTTTCTAACTATGTCTATATAAGACCACAGCAAACAAAGCAATATTACATGTATTGTTGAATACAATCAGCTCCGAAGTGTGAGCGTTTGCTATTTGCTACCGTTTTATATTATTTTAAATTGAACTTAAAGATTATTATGAATGCAATCTAAAAACCTTTTTTACCCCCATGTCTGGCAGATAAAAATACAAAGGATAGGAAGGATGTGTTGGGCAGTAAGGCATTACTAGTAATAATATTACTTTCCGCAATAACTTATAGTGTTACTAATTACACATACATTTCAGTAATAATATTACAGTTACCCACGCCAAAAATAATTTGTTTTGTTACTTTTGTTGGCACTACCTTTCTGATTTGAAATCCAACAATCCAATCACATTCTTGGATTCATTTTTGTAATCGTGGAGGAACCTAGTTTTGGATGATGGAGACGCTTACATTCAGCAGCTGGAAATATTCCATTACTTTGATTTTAACAAACAAAACTAGATTTTAATCATCGTAAGTCTGAATTTTGGGGAAAAAGGACACAATTACCAATTTTGTGGGGAGTAGCATAAAAGTAATATAACTAGTAGTGTAACTAATTGCTGTTGACAGGGAGTAACAAGTAATGAATTACATTTTTTTAGTAAGTTGGTTGTTACAGCATAGTCAATACACATTTTTCCGAAAAAGACACTGACAAGCCAAATTTGAAAATACAGCTTTATAGAAGTAACGCTTACTTCATTAATCCAATCAATTTATAAGACCTGTCAAAACCAAATTTAAAGGTCCAGTGTGTAACATTTAGGAGGATCTATTCTTGGAATATTATTTTCAGAGGTATGTTTTCATTAGTGTATAATCACCTGAAAATAAGAATTGAGTTGAGTGAGTTGCAATCTGCAACTACACCGCCAGATACATTTAATGCTTAAAATTCAGTTGATCAGATTTTAGACTTTTTAAGACCCTGTGGACTGTGCTGTCTGGGAACTCTCTCTGAAATGTTATAGACAAAATTAAATTAGAAAATAAAATCTGCATATTAATCAGTAATGAAAAAAATCATTAGTTACAACCCTAAAAGGCACCATGACATACTGAAACAGTTTGACCCAGCAGCAGGGTACATTGTCACAGTTGGTACCGTGGAAAGAGTAACTTCTAATACTCCTGTCTTCCCTACTTTCTATCTAATAGGATACAAGAGGTCTCATGTTTTGATAATTGAGGCTCTGTTGTTCTATACATTCTCCAGTCCACGCACAACATCAACATATGAACTGGCAACTGGAAGCCTTGATTTAAAAAAAAAAAAAAAAAAGCATGCATGCAGAAATGCTGATGACAACGAGCAGATGGAGGAGGTGAAGCAGCGACATGGAGTGATGCATGGGCAGATGGTTGCTATGTGGACAGATAAATGGACACAGTGGATCGGGGAGGTATGGATGCTTCATTGGCTCTCATTCTGTCTCCCTAGCTGAGTTGTTAACCTCTCTGCTCCAGTGCTGATATGGCCAAAAAGCCAGTGTGTACACAAAGTGCCAAAATGCTAATAATCCAGTTTCATGCTTGACAGTCTCAGAGAGTCCAGACTTGGCATGCTTCAGCACTCCTATCAGTGGTTCTGTGAGGCATGCTCAAACAAGAGATGGTTCCTGATCCAGGGGAAGGAAGCACATAGGGCTGATCTTTGCCCTCTGCCCTGTTCAAGTGAACTGGTTGTCTGAAGCATGTCCTGTAACTCCTTGGTTCTTTGAAGTCCTGATATGAACAAGATTAAAGAACCAAAGAAAAGCCTCCCCATGGTATGTAGGCGGAAGACAGGGTCAGTGTGCTCTTATTACATTTTCGCTATGATAGTATAGCAGGAGAAGATATCATTAAAACAGCTTTGAAAAACTAATTCTTCCAGTTACACTGCTTCTGAAGGAGCACTGACACAGCGAGGTGCACAACAGAGTAAGCTTTAATACAAATCCATTAAAATAAAATTATGACGTGGCTCTAGATATAAAGTCAGTAGGTTTCATTCTCTGGGGAACGTGTCATGTTTTATGAACAGTATTGTATCCTTAACAGGTTTAATTTTTTTTAGTACAAGATAAAAATTTTATTTAGTCATTCTGTGCTTTAATTGGAAATGAGGAGTGTGAGGTGGTGAATGGCAATAATGTGAATAAAGGCTTTCCCATGAGATATGACTGTGAGTCATTAGTGTTTCATTGTTACAGAAACTGTATTTAACCTATTTAGAGATTACGGTCTTTTACTGTCATGGTATGACAGTTTTTCACAGTTAAATCTACTGACATTTTTGCAGTGCACTGCTCCAACCTCCCCTTACTTTTCACTGTGTGAGACTGTTGCTAATGAATGAAACTAGCTATAACAAATTAGTTGTATATGAGTTATTTTCAAACAAATGTTACTTCCTTTAATTGATATCCAACCTTAAATCCCAATATAGGCTCCTACAGTGGCTTGATGTGTGAGCATGCCTTTGCAGCATTGTTTGTGGATCTTGGTTGGTGTGTAAAGCTGAGAGGAATCTTGTAATCCTGATCTTGCAAATGTTCCAATGTGGCTTACAGTAGAGAGAGAGGACAAGAGACAAATATTTTTCACAATGTATTAACTGAAAGCAGCTACAAAGTAGAGGTTTTAAACAGGTTCCTACATACAACTTTTTTTAAGCTTGTTACACTGCTGTACTTCTACTTCCACAATGCTGGTTTTATAAAATGCAAGGGTGGTGACGCTTCCACATTCTTTCACTACCTAAAAAATTAAACCTTCTGCTTCTTCAGACTTGATGCATTGTATATTGTAATAACACAGTGGAAATAACTCATCTGGATGTCTACCCCTGATCATGCTGTAATTATGTGCAATGCTTTAAAATCAGAGATGTAAACATTTGCTGCTGAATGACTACAGAAGACAAAAATCATATTATTTATTAACAAATAAATACGTAAATAAATAATGCTGAAATAAATAAATAATTTAATAAACTAATTAAAGAATACATGTGTAAATCAATTTTGAAATAAAGTATATTAATTATTAATAAATGAAATCCAAACTGAATGATTAAAATAAAAATTGTATGAAAAATGAAATAAACTAAACTAAATAAAACTAAATGTAGAAACAGAAATAAATAACATTTATACTGTTATAACTAATACTGATGCCATCATCTTTCAGTTGCAGGCTAAGCATAACTGTGCTCATTGTGCTGGAGTGAAGCTCCTGCTGGTTATCTTAGCCCCATCATGGACAAACGTGGTTCTTTGTAGAGGATTGCATGCTGCTGGTGGTGGGGGGTTTGTGGCAGCTTGTTTGTTTTCCAGGGTGGGGGCAAGACTCTCTAGGACTTGGTTATGACAATACAGGGTATATCCCT